TTTGGTCGTAGCGATTGAATGAGCAAATTATAGTTCTCCGTCGCCGCCTTTTCCATCTTTGAGATCCAGTCTCTAGTGGTGGCCATAATTGAATCATTTCTCGAAGTCAATTCTAGTCCAAATAGGGGGCTCGAAGTCAAAGTTTAACGAATGTATCAGGCGATTTTGGTAGGGAGGAGGATTTTTTCGTCAAAAATTCCTAACTCGTGAGGTTATTCCCATTCTCAACCTTTCTTTCAATCGTTTCTCGGTGGCCCTGAATCTCAAAACACTGGCCAAAAATGTATCGATGAGGGATTTACACGAAGCTCGACTACTTACAATAATGACGATTGTGTTGTCATGGTGATTTGTACCTCTTTAATTCATTGGCAGCATGAGCTGAGAAATTCCCTTAGGATTTTTAAATATGGCTTTTTTACCAGCCGTTTCACCTCCTGTGGGCGGAAGTTGAGTGAAGAGTACGAGATGTCGTTTTATTCCTCCAGGTGGTGGATATTGCACATGCGTGGACGTTGGTGGCATTCTCTCCTTCACCACCTGTAGAATTTGATTGCAATGCTTTTTTAGTTGGGCACTTTTTAATTCATGTGGTTTTTTTGTCGCTTCGCTACACTTTATGGAGTAATGAGGAAGGAAGAGGTGTTTGGTTTCTCTCCTCGAGGATTTCTTTCACCTCACCAAACCGATTGTACCACCAAGACACCTGTCCAGTATTAACTCCAAGGCCCGATAGTTGTTCCAATTGCCAGTTGTTTATACTGAGGTTTCATATTTAGCTGTTTACATTAGCTTCTAATAACCGTAGTGACTCCTGAGGCATCAATCACTTTCATGCTCACCGTTGACCCACTGATGTTAACACGCTTCCACTTCCCCTACTAGAGCACTACACTCATTTCGATACTTTTAGCGATTCTCCAAGGATTGTGTACCTCATTGTCTCCCAAATCCCACTAAATGTTTCCTAATTCGTCTTCTCGAATGATTTTGTGGGGCAATTCTTTGTGTGCACTTCCGTGAGGCTAAGTTCCTCATTCATTGCCACTCTTCATGCACAAATCTGCCTCTCCTTCAAAATGGAGGGAGGTCTGTGTGCACGCAGTTGCCTGTTCCCTTCCTCCATTGCGCAATAGCCGTTTTACAGGAATAGATCCTCTAAGCAGTTCCTTCACTCCCATCACGGAGTGTGCATTCTCGTT